AAAAAAAAAAAAAAAAAAAAAAAAAAAAAAAAAAAAAAAAAACACTGCTCGGCAATCTGGCCGCTCGCTCACTTCAGGTGCAACAGAAATTACAGCTACCCTGCCGTGCGTCCCTCCTTCACCCCCCTCACCCCTTCACCGCCCCCCATGCGCGTCAGCTCTCCAGGCGCTCTTTGAGCTTCTTGGCGTCTTTCTCGGAGCGAGCCCGCTTTCCTCGCGTTAGCATGCAAGGCTCGTAATTATATCGAATTGTCGATGTAATAACATAATTAGTCCCTTGGACGACGCGGACGCGGACGCGGACGGATGCGGGCGAAAAAAGAGAGCCAGAGCAAACAGCCAACCAGGAGATATCGGCCCGGCACCCAGTCCGGCTCGGCGCCCGCTCAGCTTTTCAGCTCTCTTTTGAATTTGTTATCGTCCACGGGAAAAGGGATTCCAGTCCGCGGAAGCGAAATTTTTTATAGAGCGATATTTTTCGAGTTGCGTCAGAAACTCCCACGCCGAGATTTCCATGGGAAACTCTTTAAGTTTCCGAAAGAATAACAGTCGTATTTATAATCATTTCTTAATCAGCTCTTTTCCCTAGGGAGCCCCATATCGACGGTGTAAATCGGCAATCACATAACTCAGTTTGCGACGTCGCAGACTTCCTATCATAGGTTATTTTTTAAACGGAAGACTACTCAACGGCAATTCTTTCAAAACTGCCGTGAATTTTCTTCTCTATGCGAAGAAAATTCTGCAAAAACTTCAAGGAATGATGTCAATTCGTTCTCCTTTGGAAAAATAACATAGAGGCGGAGATTTTCAGACACTGCAAACGAGATATGTGATCAGGGGCGGACTGGCAGTCGAAAAGTTAGGAGGCGACCTAGATTTGGGGGCCCCTCCTGCGTCGTTCGGGGGCCCCTCCCACGGAAAATTTTAAAAATTTCACACTTTTTTAAGCGCAATTTTAAGCATTTTTGGAGTCAAATTCAAGAGTGCTTGAACTTCAAAATAACCCATTCTCAGGATTCTTCGGAGGCCCGGGCCCCTTCATCATTTCTGGGGCCCCAGGAGCCCACTAGATTTCCCTGTATATTCTGTATTATAAACTTTAGGCGACCTTTTATGTCTCTTATAGACAAATTTTCAAGGATTTTGAGGCATGGTAGTGACTGTAAAGGATTGGAAAATTACAACATTACCGGGAACAAAAAAACGACGAATCGAAAAAATCGCCGCGGGGGCCTCTCCAGGGCCTCTGCGGCAAATTGTTAGGGGAAGATCGCCGCCCCGCCCCTATGGCCAGTCCGGCCCTGTATGTGATTGCGGACTTACGCCGCGCCGTCGATATGGTTTATAGGAGCAGTGGCGAGGTTTGAATGATCGATTTTCGATACTTCCCATTTGAAACTATGGTAAGGAATCGATCGTTAAAGTGCTCATTTCAAACACTCTCTTTATCAATCCTTTTCTATAGGTTTAAATGACAGATCAATCGATGTATTGCAAAGCTCTCTGCACCGCTGATTAGGAAGTTTAAGGAGATCCTTAACATTGCACCATATAAAAGACAATTTTTTTAAATTTCAAATGAAACTCAATGGTACATCTTCGGAAATAGACCCTTTCAGGGTATTACAATGATTTGCATCTACAAATTGTTAAGACCCCAAAGAGAAATTTTGATGAAGCCTGAGATGCATGTATTTCTATGAAATTCGTGGTTCAATAAAAAATGAATACGCTCTCTTTTCTTAAAAGTATTCATGGCTCAACTCGAAGCCAAGCGTCTCATTCGTTTCGCAAGCTACTCTACTGTGCTAAGTAAGAACGCCGCGTATGAGCCCTCCAATGTTGACAAATCTCCATTGATACGACACAAATTTTTCAGGAAACTTATGAATAGTTTTCCTATAATTTTTTACAGAATCTCGCTCAGAATTTATCATAAAGTATTTAAATATTTTAATTTAAAAAATGTACAGACTTTGTAAAAAAAATAGTATTTTATTGGGGGAATTTTAGCAACGTCGGAATGCTTACACGACGTTTTTCCTCAGCGCGGCAGAATGGAACATGCGGTTGTACACGACACAAATGCAATACCCACGGGAGGCACATTTACCACACCCCGAAATAATACCCGGGATTAAAGGGCTCCATTCACAAGTGTAGGGACATCCCCCGGCCCGAATCCCTGAGAAACCGGACGCAGAGAGTAAATAAGTCCACGTGCCGCCGCGGTGCATTGTGGGTAAAAAACGCATGAATAAATAAACAATGGTGGGGGCGGGGGTGGGGCGGGTAAGCGGGCGGAGGGTGGCGAAATGTCAAAACACCGCAGTCGGAGCAATAATACGGGGCAAATTAAGTTCCAGCATCTATTCTTCGCCGAAATCTAATAATTCTCCAGTTCATTTGCTCGCTGCAAGACCAAGGAGGACCGCCCTCGGAGTTTCCCTTTGAGCCCTGCCTCACCCCTTCGCGAGCCCGAGGGTGTCTTCTGCCACGTTAAGGAACAATCCCGTATGAATCCTCTCACGTTGCCGCATTAAGTCTGCTAAATACGAATTTTTCAGGAAGCCTGTGAAGATTTTTCTATAAATTTTCAGAGAATTTTATTCATTTGATTCTCAGAATATTTCGAGGGAAATATTGACAAGAAAAAGCGCAAAAACGTGCGTCTCAAACGCGTCGTTTCAAAATTTTCGCTCATCTTTTTTTGAAGAAAATTTTCAGACGTTTTCGTAAGAAATTTGCAACAAATTTACTTACGAGAGTGCAGAGAAATCACATGGAATTTTATTTTATTTATTCCTGTAAATGTCCAAAAATTGAATTCAACTTTTGAAATGTACGCGTAATTTCCAACAGTCCCGCTTGTACACACTCCAAAGTTTACTTGGAATCATGGAATAGTAAAAAGTCGCAGGTTAATCAGTAAATTGGAAGGAGAGATACCTTTATTTAAATGTTTTAAAATTTCTTAATTTATATTATGTGCGGGTTGCATCATTCGCTCCTGCAAAGTTTCATAACTTTAATCTCAAAATTGTAAGAACATAATTTATTAAATCCGCATCTTGTATGTATGTGTACATAAATTTTGTAAATGACAAAGCAAAGCGAGAAATAATAATTTTAGACATCATTAGTAATGTAAAATTTTATCACAGTGAGATAAACTTCAATTTTTTTAAAATTGTCAGGCAATTTTAAAAATACTTCCTCCGCATCTTTGCAAATTCATAACTCTCCAAAACATTAATGTTTTATCAAGGGAAATCCGACAGCATTCGAATGCCCATATGCCGTTTCTCCTGAGCACGTCGGTTTCGGAGCAGGGCTCTTCACGTTTCATCCCTGTTTCGGGTGCCCCCGGCGATATCCCGTCAACCCCCATTTTCCGCCGCTCTCCGATGATTATGACTCGAACCCGTCCACGAAAATTGTTTTGATCCCCACTTCATGGCGGCTAATAACCCAACAATATCGCTACAAAGCTCGGCGCCCAAGTTATCCGGCTTTGCTTAACTTCGTTGGCTCCGACTCTCTCCTGTGGATGAATCATCAATGCGTGAAGCACATCAAATCAAA